CTGAAATATGGTAACCCTAGTCCTGCCCCACCAGGCAGCAGCAGGAGCAGGGACGGCTGTGAGGGGAGAGAGCCTCCTCTCAGTGCCTCTTCCCGAGCCCCAGGGCCTGGCACGAGTCATGTCACTTCTGCAGGGATACACCCAGGGGCCAATGGTGACGTCACCAAACCCCTTCAGCTCCTGCCCCTCCCAACTAACCCGCCCTGCCCGGTGGATCCCTGAGAAGAGCCTCGTACCTCAGCCTCTGCCCAGGTCTTCTTTATGGGGAAGAAGCCATAGCAGTGTCCTCGGTAGAACAGCCAGCCACTGGGACAGGACGTGGCCCCGATTCCTGATCCGAGAGAGGGGATGGGACGGGGCGAGAGAAGAGTGTAGTGAGAGGCTGTTTTGGAGAAGAGAATGGGAGCAGAGCTGCCGGCTGTCATCCTTCCAGCTTCTCCAGATCTCCCAAAATCCTGTGAACATTTGCCCTCTCTCAAAATGGCCACTATCTCCTATTGCTTTCAATGGGGCTGAAGCCACTCAGTTAAAACAGCTGCCACTTCCTTGCCACCTTTGTCAGTAGCAGTGAGGCTGTCCTACTGAAAATTACCACTGTCTCCTTTCCTGAGGGGACAGGAGCTGGGCTGTCCTCAAGGAAGATGGTCACTTCCTATCTTCTGTGCAGGAGCACTGGGGGACCTGATGGGATGGGGGTGGAGGGGTAGTAAAGACAATTGAATCAGCGTATACAGCGGACTATGGGGTGAAGATGGGGAGCACTCATGGAGGGTGGGTGAGGTCCCAGAGGCCTTGAGAAGGGCAAACTTGGTACATGTCTGTTAAAAGGGGAACAAAGAAAATCTGGGAACTTATAGACCACTAGCCTAAGTTTGATACCTGGGAAGAGACTGGAACAAATTATGAAACAATCCATTTGTAAGCATCTAGAGGATAATTGGGTTATAAGTAAAAGCCAACATGGAAATGTCAAGATAAATTCCTTCTTTCCCCATGAATGTGGGGAAGCTGTAGACTTGATAGATCTTGATTTTATTAATGCTTTTGACACAGTCCCACATGATGTTCTCATAAGCAAACTATGGAGATGTGATCCAGATGAAATTACTGTTAGGTGGGTGCACAACTGGTTGGAAAACCCTCCTCAAAGAGTAGTTAGGGAGGTTGCTTGTTTGCTGTCAAACTGGGGATACATATCCAGTGGGGTCTCAGGGGTCTATCCTGGGTCTGTTCAACATTTTCATTAATGACTTGGCTAATGGAGTGGAGATTATGCCTGTACATTTTGTGGATGACACCAAGCTGGGAGGGGTTGCTAGCACTTTGGAGGACAGGATTAGAATTCAACTGGCCTTAATAATTGGAGACTTGGTCTTAAATGAACAAGATGGAATTCGGGATAGACAAGTGCAAAGTACTTCACTTAGGAAGGAAAAATCAAATGCACAACTACAAACTGGGGAATAACTAGCTAGGCAGTAGAACTGGGCCATTTAGGGATGTGGGGCAAAAATCTGTCTGGGAATTGGTCCTGCTTTGAGCAGGGGGTTGGACTAGATGACCTCCTGAGGTCCCTTCCAACCTGATATACTATGATAAGTAAGGAAGGGGTGCCGGGGGAGAGAAATACTCCCAGGATTTTTCTTTGCACAGAAGGAGGGGGGAAGGGTTTGGATTATCCATAATACAGGGTGAAGCTCATGGAGAGGCGCCATTTTGAGCCCAGTGAAAAGAGATGGCTGTCACTCGTCTGAGATGTTATTGGCACGTTCTGTTCCCTGGTTGGGAGGGGACCCCTCTGCCCCGATGGGGTAAGTCCCCCTCTAAGCCGCAGCAGGAGATGGGGGCGGGTTTAGCTCCCAGCCTGTCTCTCACACTCAGCCCCAGGAGATCTCAGGGATTCCCTCTGCACTCAGAGCCAAGGGCAGCAGGAAGCCGCCTCGCCCCTCGGGCAGGTGCTGAACCGCTGGTTGGGGTCTGGATTGATAGATTTGGTGAGGAAGGGGCTCTGGGGACCCTGCTGTGATGGCTTCTACCACATGGTGGGGCTGGGACCCCTGAGTGAAATGAGTTCTCTTCCCTTCAAGGGCAAACAGAGTCTGGGGTCTCCAGCTCTGAGGGGCCAGGCAGGGACTCACCTTCCAGCGAGGGGTTAAAGATCAGGCAGCCGAGGAGGCTGAGGCAGAAGTAGGCGACTGGCCCCATCTTCTTTCTTCACCTGGTGAGAAAACGCACAAGGGAGATGGGGCCATGAGAGCCTGAGACAGCCCCTGGAGCGACCCCCCCCCCATCCTTCATGGGGCATTTCAGTGCTTTGGAGCTGGAACTGTTTGCTAAAGGGCCAGGCTGG